CGCAGGTGCGCGGTGAGCCCCGCTGCCAGCAGGTGGCGCCGCTCCCCGTCCCGGCGGCCCGCCCGCGCTCCCCCCGCTTTCCCATCGGCCGGTCCAACCGCTGCCCGAGGACGGGTGGGAGGCACGCGGGGGGGGCGGGGGTGTTGGGGAGAAGAGAACTGTCACCAGGGCCAGGAAGGGGAGGCTCTGGGAAAAGAGCAGAAGGCTTCAGCGAGGTCAGAGCGGGGGCCGAGGAGGAGGCAGCGGAGCCGGGTGGGGGGTGGGGGTAGCGGGGGGGGGGGCGGGGAGGGAAGGAGGGTGCGCGGGGGGATGCAGGTGTGCTTCCGGCCCCAACACCAGCCCCCTCGGCCTGAAGCCCCCCTACCCACGTGTGGAGGGAGCCAGGACGGAAAAGGGAATGAATGAATGAATGGATGAATGAATGAAGTAAACCAAGCATGAGTACCTGAGCCAATGAGTCAGGGAGTTCATTAATTCACACACTCACTCGTGACTAATGATGGGTTAGTGGGTGAGTGCGGGAGAGCAGGTGACGGCCCCCCAGCCCCGCCCGCGGCGCACTGTGGACGAAGCTCTGCTCCTCGGGCGTGCTGATGCTGGCCAGGTGCGCGCCGTGCGTCCGGCAGTGGGTCTCGGCCTCCTCCCAGCTCCTCCGCGCGGAGAAGTGCTTATAGCAGGCGCCCTGGAAGGCGTCCCAGCCCGGACTGCAGAAGCGGAGGCCTGGGGCACAGAGGGGGGGGCAGCTGAGGCCGCAGGGGACCCCAGGGGGCGGGACTCGGGGCCCAAACAGCCAGTAAGGGATGAGGGGCCTTGATGGCTCCCACCTCTGGGCGACAGGGACCGCCGGGGGACGGGGGGCTGCAGCCCCAACCCTCCATCCCAAGAAGGGCTGCGCCCTCGTCTCTTCCCAGGAGAGAACTGGCAGTCGAGGAGCGCCCCTCCCACAGGGGCCACCTGACCCGTGAGGACTTTGAGAGGTTGTGTGATTTGCCTAAACTGGAGACTCATGGCAAGGCCCGTGCCCGCCCGCCCTCCGGGCTCCAGAGCAAGCACGTTGTGGTGGGGGCCGGGCCGGGCACCAGATCCGCCCCCACCCCCCACCCCTGCCGCTCAGCACACTCACCAACATCACATAGGTCCCCCCCATAGCCAGGCAAACACAGGCAGCGGACCCCCTCCTCCTCCTCCAAGCATGTCCCACCATTGTGGCAAGGGCTGGGGACACAGTCGCCTGAGGGGAGAGAAGTGAGGTCCCCCAGGAGCCCGTTCAGCATCCACAGCCCCAAGCCCCTCGTCTTGGGAGCTCTCACAGCATCTTAAAGTCGGCCCGGCGCTCAGTTCCGGGGTTCTCTCCCACCCCGGCCCCCCTGGCCCCCCGCCACTTCGGGGTCGACTCAGCCCTGTGCGGGCCATTGCCGGGCCCACCAGCGTGGGCACGGGCTAACGGGCTGGGCGGAAGTGGCCAGAAAGGCCCTCAGGACCCAGCTCCACTGAAGGGAAAGATACTGGGCTGTCAGTCATGAGACTTGGACTCTTATCTGGCTCCTGGCTCTGCTGAGTGACATTGGGCAGGTCACTTTACCTCTCTGGGCCTGGAGTTTAGTTCCCCACCACCTTGTTTTTGTGCCAGGTCCCTGCACACTTCTGTTTGGTTTCGGTGGGCTGGATGAAACCGGAGGAGGGGAGCATCACCATAGCAACAGTGAGGGGTGGCCTGCCCTTGACTGCTTCTGGGACCTGATACTGGGGTAGGGGTGGGGGTGGGGGGCTAGCTATTCCTCTTGCTGTTCACTGGGTAAAGTCAACAACCCCAGAAGCTGATAGTGAAGAACCGATCCCGTCCCCAGGCTCCCCTCCACTCTGGGCCCTCTGCAGTCAGCCAGTCTAACCCCCTCCAATCCATCTCTCCCTTCTTCAGGCGCTCTCTCCTCCAGGCAGCCCTCTTAGACTGACGCATTGCCCTGAAGCTGCCATCTGTTGTCTGGCTGCGTCACCTGCCTTCTCCTCAGGACTCTCTCCCTGTGGGTCCTGGGGTAGGAGGTGGCTGCCCTTAGACCAGTGCTCAGACAGGGCACATTCTACTCCTTCTGGGCCAGGAAGAGGAAGATGGCCCCACAGACTGACAGTGCAGGGCTGGGCGCTCAGCCTGGGAGGTACAACCACCCCCGGGCGGGACTCTTCGGCCCACACCACACCCCCAGCAGCCAAGGGCAGGGCCCCCTGTGCTTCCCTCTGCCTGGTGGGGGTGGGGGGAGAGCAGAGGGGGGGAGGAGACACTGGAGTCGAATCCAAAAATTTTGCTGGGATGACCTCGCTGTTTTGGGTGAAATGAATCAGCTGTTCCAGCACCCGCACCCTGGCACCTCTCCTCCTGCCAACAATTTCTTCCAGGCTGGGAGCACCGGCTCCCAGGGCGAAGGGGGAGGGAGGTGTTTGGTCTAGCCCGGCACGCACGCGCCCCGCAGAGGGCAGGAGCCCTGGGGGACGGGGACTTCCACACTTGGTCCCTGGTTGTCCACCCAGGCCATAGCCCCCACCCCCACCCCAGGGCAGACAGAGTGGGGGCAAAGGAACTCCTTCCTGAGACTTTCTGCTCTTCCTTCCTCCCCCCTTCTTGGGGCCAACTGCTGTACACAACCAGAAAGTTCTTCACTCCTGCTGTAACGGCAGCGCCAGAGGACATCGGTCACCCTCCAGGTGGGGGAACTACAATCCTGCAGAGACTTCCCCTGCTTCTCTTCCCACCAACCCCCTCGCAACGCACACAGCACTGAACTCCAAGGCCAGCTGGTCAGGGAGCCAGGAGTTGGCATGGGGGAGCCTGGGTGTGATGCAGGGGCCCCCAGCCCGCCCTGGACCTTGTAGGAAGGGTGGTCCTGGGACCGGGCGGATCCCAGCCTTCTCCAGGGATCCCCACTGGGAACCTCAGCCTTCCCTGGATGGGTACGGCTTCTCTCAGAGCCCAGAGCCTGACTCCCCACCCCTGTCCCCACCTCCACATTCCCTCTTCCTCGCCTCCTGATTTGGTCTTCTCCAGCATTAGGGACTTGGCGATCCTTTGGTTCAGGGAAGGTGAGGCCATTCTTCCTAGGGGTGGGGTGGTCTTTCGTGCAGGGGTTAGTGAAGAAGGGGGAGGCCATGGGCAGAGGGATGAAAGTTAGATACTGTCTCCCTGCTGAGTTGTGCCGAGGGGGAGGCTGGGGTGCCTGGATGCCAGTTTGGGCCTCTATGCTAAGATGGGCTTTCTCTATTAGGAGTCTGTATGTATGGCTCTACATGGGAGCCATCCAGATGGATCGGAAATGAATACAAGCGTGCACATGCATACACACACACACACACACACACACACACTCAGGCTGGTGGGGGTTTCTCCCCATCGGGAGTGAGGGACAACTGCTCGCAGTCCCATGGATGGATGGACAGTGACTTCTCTGTACAGTCAGATCTGCGCTCCCGGCAGTTGGGAAGAAAGGCAGAGGAGAGCCTGAGAGGGGGTGAGGGAAGAGTGAGCAGTGTTAGGCTGGTGGGCAGGAAAGGGCGCTGGCTGAGGATGAAGAGGGGAGGCAGAGGCGTGGAGAGCAAGGGAGACAGGAGAGAGCGAGGGAGCTGCCTGTAACACAAACCCAGGGGATGAAAAGGGCAGGCAGCTGGGGGTGCAGACAGAGGGTGCCAGAGTTTTGGTTATAAAGTGGTTTAATAGAGATTTATTTCCAAGGCTTGTTTTCCATGAAACAGTCAAAAAAATACTTCACAGAAGTAGTCGCTTAAGGCTCTGTGGGGGTACAGGCTCTTCTAGACCCCAGCGGCTGACCCCAGGCTTCCCTGACATCAGGGGGGTGTCTGAAGGGGAGGGAAGGGGGTAGTAGGAGAGGGGCAGGGGCCCTGAAGAGTATAATAGGGACCCGGGGCCGCCTATCGCATTAGAAAGGAGGGTGTTCTGTGGGGCCGAACGAAGCCAAGGGCAGGAAAGAGTCTCAGGAGGGCAGTGGTGGGGCCGGAGTTACGGGGTGGGGCCATGGAGTTGGGGGTCATGAGGTGAGAAATCAGAGAGCTGGTGTGCAAGGCTGGAAACTCACAGGCAGAGGTGTACAGGCAATGAAGACGAAGGACAGGAGAGGCTGGGGCAATGGCGGTTAAAGGACCATAGGTCACGTGACCCAGAGCTTCAGGGGGAGAAAGGGGAGGAGGAGGAAGAGGGAGGTTGAGCCTTGGGCAAAGTTACCTGATGAGGGGGCCACGGCCACTCCGCCTTGGCTGGCGCTGTCAGTGGGCAGCACCGGCTGAACCCGCACTGAGGTCCCTGCTGGGACAGTTCTTCCAGAATTCTCTTCAGAGGGGGCCTCCAGTTCCCCGGCACCCTCAGGGGCCTGTGTGGCTGGAAGCAGGGCGGGGGTCTCCTCAGAGCTCCCTGTCTCCTCACTCTCTCCTCGAGGGACCCCAGACAGCTCAGGACCCCCAGCCTCCTCCCCCACCTCTCTCTCCCCAACCGGAGCGGAAGGTGGTGGGGATGCCAGTTTCCCGTTCTGGGGAGTGGGCAGAGCCTCCGTGGGGGGTCCCAGGACCCCTGGAGGCCTGGGGGCCTCTGGCTCTCCACCGGGGGGTGGTGATGCTCCAGGCTGTAGCACCGCCCTCGCTGGCGGCGGGGAGGCACGGGAGAGCCACTCCTCTGGGACTGGCTCCGTAGGGAGAGGAGGCTCTGGGTCCGGGCTGCCGAGCTCGCTGGGCCAGGCCCACAGGGCCTCGTCCTCCACCTGCTCCTCTCCCTCCTCCTCTTTATCTTCTTCATCCATGTATTTCTCTTCTTCCTCCAAAGCCTTGCCTTCCTCTTCTGAGGACCCCAGGGGAGGTACAATGGACTGGGTTTCGAATTCTAGACAAAGCACAGGTGGTTCAGCACCACGGACAGCACCCGCCCGCCCCGGAAGCCCGAAAGGGGGGGAAGGAAGGCGGGGCTGGGGAGGGGGAGGCCCGCAGGGGAGGGGGCGGGGGCTGCCCTGGATGGGCTGTCTTCCCTCCCCACCTGAGGACCTTCAACTCGAGCTGCAATACCGAGGCTACCTGGAGAAGGCTCTGTGAGCTGTCATTAATTAGCCCAGTAAAAAGCATAGTCATTGCACCTCCCTCTCCTTGTCTTAAAATTCTCTAGTCTATTTTGGGTCGGTAAGGGGGAGGAGGGAACAAAGCAGGGAGCACCCTCCTTCCCAGAGCCGGAGAGTCTGGAGTGGAATGTGCCGGAAAGGCGAAGGGTGGGAGAGTTCTGGAGACGGACCCTGCATCATCGAGATGCTGAGAAAGGACGGGGCGGTCATGCCGGCCATAAGCCCAGCACCCTGGGGTTGCAGCCTCGCCCCCAACTTCTCTTACTAAGCCACTCCAGTTACCGAGGAGGGTCCTAGGGGCCTCTGCTGGGTCTTCCGGAGTGGAGCCTCCGCCTCCCCCATCCTCCACCACGGGGATGGAGTAGATGGCTCCCCGGGACTCTCTCTCCACGGCCTCCCGGGGCAGCTGCAGCTCCTCCAGGGTCTCCGTCACGGTGACAATGGCCTCCAGCCCGTCAGAGGCTGGGTGGGAGGCGTCAGGCGTGGCGGAGGGCTGGCCAGAGTCTGCGAAGAGGAAGGTGTCAGTAGAAGGTTAAATAGGTGACTTTGCCTTCAGTCACAGCCTGAACGTGAGGGCTCTGGGTTAGACTCAGAGACCATGAAATTCTCTCAGTTCTCACTCATCTCTCATGGGAGGACCCATGAGACCCAGGGAACACCACCACCTTCATCACTCATTCCTCAGGCATTAATTAAGTGCCCACTCTGTGTCAGGACACGGAGTCTTCTGGGCACTGAGGAGAGAGTGGAGAAAAAAGGGCAGCAAGCCTCCTGCCCTAAGGGGAGTGTATAACTTAGCTACATAATAAACAAATACACATGTAGTGCTAACATATAAAGAACACTCGGGCAGAAAAAGGAAATAGAACGATGAGAAGGCCTACTTTAGATAGAGTGGTCAGGAAAGGCTCAGGGGAGAGAGATTCCCTTGAGTAAGGGCACAGAGGCAGTCAGCTCCTCGGGACACCTTGGGAGCAAGGTGTGAGGGCTCCCAGGGCTCCTGAGACTTTTGAAATGCAAGGGGCCAGGTGGGCATCACTCAGGAGAGCCGAAGGGTGGAGTGCAGGAGGGACACTCAACAGTCGCCACCCGAGGGTCTCAGAATCCGAGCAAGAAGGCAAAGGAAGGGGCCACCCCGTCCTTCCAGGAGCTGCTCCCTTCACACAACAGAGCTTTCGAATGGATTACCTTGTCTTCGGAGAAGAGAGCCGAGATCAGAAAACCAATGAAGCGGCGGTGGAATTAGGCTAAGAAAAGCCCCGAGGGCTGCCTGTGCTCAGCCAGACGGGAGAGCACAGCACGTCCCGCCCCCATCACTTGCTCCAGTGAGCCCTGCTCACGCCAGACAAGCAAACCTGTGTCCTTGCCGGCCTCTGTCCTCCACCTGTTCCCAGCCAGCCAGCCTCTCCATCCAGCCCCTCCTCCGTCCAGCCCCTCTTTCCGCGTCTTCCCGGAACAGTACTTGGCACGGAATCAGCGTATAGACACGTTCACTATCACTATGATCGTCACCATCTGCCTTCCGGTTGGCCTTTCCAGATGGACCTGCCTTCCCCTAGACGCCACTTCCCCACCACTCCCCAGCCCCAGGCTGAATATGTTTGGAGATCTGTCCATAGAAGTAATGCTTTCTTAGCCTCTCCTCGTGCTGAGGGCCAGGCATCTCGTCCTCCCTCAGACTGGGGGCTCCCAGGGCAGACGCAGGTCTCCCCCTTCAGCGTAGGAGCCCCCCCAAAGGGAAAGGCTGTGTATTCTCCCTTCATTTTTGCCTCCAGCCCTTGTCTCAGCTCTGCGGGCCCACACCTCAAGCCAGGACCCACACGCCCCATGCCACTGCCTCCCTGACTTCAGTCACTGGGGGTGCCTCTGGGCATCCTAGGCACCACCTTCCTTTCAGCCCCCAATATAAGCTGTGACCAGGAGGCCATCTCTGCACCCAACCATCCTTGAGGACCTGCTCCCTGTGGGGGAAACTGTGTCTGCCTGTCAATACTTGGTGGTTAAAGATCTGACACCCGCGAGCTGAAGGTTCCGGAACCCCCACCCCCCACCCCAAGGGCTCTTGAAGGCCATTAGGCTAACTGGAACAAAGACCTGAGCAAAACTGGACAGGGCTGCGTGGGGCCAGAGGGCTCAAGTCCGTCTGTCTGACAGAGAGAGAGGGGGCTCGGCGTCTGCGGGGGGCCGGCTCACCTCGGAAGCAGTAGACGTTGAAGCGGCTGTACTTGTCCGGGAAGCCGGTCTGGTTGGGGAAGAGGAAGAGAGTCTTGACACCAGGCAGGCCCCCGCCACAGCGCTGGCTGGGCGTGACGATGGGGTAGCGCACGCTGCCATCGGCCAGCCAGCCGGGGCTGCAGCGGTCCAGGCCACCATCCCAGGCTGCATACAGCTGGCCCGTGGTGGCAATCTGTGCACCCCGCTCCCGGCAGTATGCCCGTGCCTCCTCCAACGTCAGCTTGTCTGGAGGGGCGCCCAGGAACAGCTCTCCTGGTAGGGAAGAGGGGGCCGGGTCACCAGGGAGCTGGGAGCCCCTTGTACCCTGGGCTCCCGCAGAGACCCTAGGCTGGCTTCTCTGGGCCTCAGTCTCCTCATCTGTGACACGGAGTCAAATTCCCTATTTCAAGGTCAAAGTTGGGGTAGAACCTCAGGACAGATGTTATTACTCAGAGGAGCCTGGCTCAACTTCCTCCTTCTGCAAAGAAGGTAAGCGAGGCCCAGAGAGGCTAAGAGCGGAGAGCTGCAGAGTCAGACGCAAACTCAGTCTCGTCCCACCTGTCGGAGACTTTGGCCGTGAACGTGCTTCCACGGCTGCATTTGGAGGAGGGACACTGGTCGTGTCTCTGGACGCCCCCCCCAGATGCCTGCTTGAACCCGTGAGGGACGGCAGGCCCAGCAGAGGCCCCTGAGGACCTCCAGGCAGCACCGGAGAAGGGGCTCAAGCCTGAGAACGCCTCACCCCCAATCACCATTTAGGTCTTCGGCATAGCAGTAGACATCATAGAGGTCATCCGGGTCCACCACGCCGTAGTTCCGGACCCCAGGGAAGCCATCCATGTCTCCGTAACAGGCCTCCCGCGGGGTCTGGATGGGATACCTGGGAGCGAGTACAGACGCCTTCATCAGGGAGCCCTCCAGGGATGCCCCTCCTGAACCACACTGCCCTTCAAGGCGGCCCGGTTGTCTTCCCAGCTCTGCAGGGACACCCCCCAGGGCAGGGTCCTCACCCACCCTCATTCCCGGGAGGCAGGGAGCCCTGTGCAGCTGGCCTGAGGCAGCGGGCAGCCCCTGGCAGTGCCCGGGGCCAGCGCCACCAGACACAAGTAGAAGCCCTGCCCACTGCCCCCCCCCCCGCCCACCTCACGGTCTGGTCGGACAGCCAGCCAGCATCACACTGCTCATAGCCCCCGAGGTAGGCGGCGTAGAGCTGCTCCGGGGTGGCAATGCGGGCTCCGATGCGGGCACAGGCCTCCTGGGCCCGGGCGAAGGAGAAAGCGTAGCGGGCAGAGCCCTCCCGGTAGAGAAAGACGACCCCTGAGGGGCAGACAGGAGCCGTGAGGCGTGGTCACCCCCAAACTGGCCTCCCCTCACCCTCCTTGCCACTCCCCTGGACACAAGGGGGAAAGTCCAAATTGCGCTCACTCTACAGCATGAGGGGCTTAAGTTAGACTGTGAGTAGGATTTCCTCCACCTGAAGAGAGAAAGGAGGTGACAAAGGCTTGTAGCTACGCACCCCTTTTCCAGCTCGGTCTGTGCCTGTCACAGGTGCGTTTGCTTCCCCCTCAGACTGTGGGCTCCCGGGGGCAGCGGTCCTTCCTCCCCCCCCCAGGAACCTGCCTCCCTCCTGCCCTCACCTTTGACCTTGACCTCCACGGCGTCGCTGCTGTCGTCTATGCCGTGCTGGACCTCGCAGCGGTAGATGCCAGAGTCGTTGGGCCGCAGCTCGCTCAGCGTCAGGGAGACGTCGGTGAGCGTCGCCGGGTAGGCGGGCAGCGCCACGCGGAACCGGTAGGCCTCGCTCACCTTGACGCGCAGCCCCCGCGCCACCAGCACCTCGGCCTCCCGGCCCCCGGACAGGAAGGTCCACTTGACCCGCGGGGAGCCCAGCACGGCCCGGCGGCCCGGCGGCGGCCGCAGGTAGTGAACGTGGCACGGGATGGTGAGGGCGCCGCCCAGCACGCCCTGCAGAGGCGCGTCGCCGGCAATGCGCACGCGGAAGGCCCGGTCCTCTGTGGGTGGGCAGGTGGGGCCGCCTGGGACTCAGGCGCCTGGGTCCGCGGCGTCCCCCTCCCCCCCGGGGGGGGTTTCCACGCGCCCCCCGCGGCCAAGGTCCTGCATGCCCACCCCGCACCCCCTCCAGACCTGTCCCCAAAGTCTCCCGGTCGGCTCTGCCCCGAGTGGCCCAGCATCAGCGCAAGATTCCCAGGCTGCACCCCAGGTTTTCTAACCTCGCCCCCTGGGTCCTCCAGCCCTGTCCTCAGGGTTCCCCTCGGACTCACCTGCACGATTTCTCCCCCTGCCCCATTCATCCCTCCGCACCCTAGAGATGGGCAGCCTGCCCCTCCCCTCCCCTACCAGAGACCACAGCTCTTCCCTTACCCCCAAGTGTCCCAGGCCAGGCCTTTCCCCACAGTCCCCCCAATCCCGTCTCCCCCCTGGGTCCCCTAAGGCTGGAAGAGGTTGGTGGGACCGAACAAGAGCCGCCCCCTCCCATAGGGGAGACGCAGGAGACGGAGACAGGGACCCCGAGTGGGGTGGCTTACCTGAGCTGTCCCCTTCCAGGGCATCAGCTGAGGCCGCGGGGCCCCGGGCCAGGGCCAGGACCGCCAGCAGGGGCAGGGACAGCGGGGCCATGCTCAGGCTGGTGGAGGGACTTGAGGAGGAAAGATGGGGTTAGACTTCAAGGTGGACCCCCCCCCGGCTCCCGACCACACATATCCTGGCCCAAGACGCCCACTGTCCCCTGCTCACTGTTCACAGCCTCATTTCCGATCCTGCCTCCCCGCCAGGGGGCTCTTCCTCGGAACCCAGACGTGGGCACTAGTCAACTTGCTGCGTGAATTGAAGAAAGTTCCTTAAGTTCTCTGGGCCTTTGTTTACTTACTTGTAAAAGATCACCATTACGACCACCTCACAGGGTGTGAGGCTATGTGCTTTCTACCCTAAAACCCCTGTACAAATGCACAGTTGCAGGCACACAGCAGGAGCTCAATAAATGCTCCAAGCATGAGTGGTGGGTGCTATAATACTTAACAATTCCCTCTGCTCTTCCCAAAGGGAAGAGTTCCTTCCTCAAACCCAGAGCCTCCTGCTGCCCCAGTACCTTTCCAACATTCCCTTCCTGCCCCTTCCTCCCTGAGTACCACACCCACCTGGCCTTTTCCAGGAGGGCCTCCTAGACTGAACCTGGGCACCGCACAACTTCTCTCTAGCCCAGCTCCTCCCTGACCGCTCCCTACCCCACTGTTAACTTATAAGGAAACTCTTCTCTTTACTCGTCGCACCCTCCACCCCCTCTTGGCCGCCTTCTCCCTTCTTCCCAGCCTTCCTTTCTGCCTGGCACGGGCTTTCCCACCGGATCTCCTGGCTCAGAGACCAGCTGGGACAAAGCCCCTGTCTCTGCCAGTCTGGCTTCCATCCAGCCTCTCCTTTCCCCCGCCCAGTCCTAGGCTGGGGGGGTGGGCTCAGGGAGGGGGAGAATAAATGGGAGGGGCCATCTCTCTCTTGCTCTCTTGGCTATCAGACACTGTGAGAACCCAGAAGATTCCTCTGCGGGTCTCAAAGAACTTACACTCTCATAACGGAGGGGTGGGGAGAGAGGTGACATTGAGAAATGGAACCCAGAGGGGCAGAGAGGGATAAGGCTGACCCAGAGTGCCCGGCCAGGCCGAGTCAGGTACCAGCAGGGCTGGCATCCGACATCATCCTTACCGGCCGGGCTACGCTTAGCAGAGCACGAAGACCATGGACTAGGCCAATGGTGCAGCAGGAGGGACGCAGGTTAGACCACAGGCACGACTTCCTAGAGATCAGGTTCATTCCCACTCTGGGCCCATTGTTCAACCTCCACCTTCTATGCCCTCGCAGGCGCTGCCTTCATGCATGTCTCCCCCTTCCTGAGCCTGAGCCTCTCTCCCAAGTCCCCGCAGGGATGTCAGGGCCTCCCCACCACTGTAACCTCCATTTCCGCCACCACGGCGGGCCTTCACTGCCTCAGAGTCAGACTTGGGGAAGGAGTGACGGGAGCCAGATGTCCAGGGTCTCTCTGGATGGGGCCAGATCAGAGGACGCTGAGACCGGCTCTGGGCATGGGAGCACTCGGGAGCACTGCTCTCTGGGGATGAGGGTGGAGCGTTTGGCGGGAGCAGCTGGTGCCTGCCGGGTGCTAGGCAGACTGTCCCCTTCCATCTTAGCTGGGGCCAGGCCCCGGGCCAGGCCCCTTTCTGGCGCCTTCCCTTCCCTCTCTCTGGGCTGGAGCCGGAGCTGCTCACAGACCAGGTCCCAGCTTTCTGACAAGTGGCCCAGAAACCCATATATTTGGAGCCACTCTGGGACCGACACCCTGGACCCCCCTCTCACCTCTGTCTTGAAGGGTAAAGGGAGAAGGTGTGAGGCTGATGGGGCCCTGGCCAGCCCGGGCATGGAGGCTCGCCCACCCCCATCTCCGGGAATGGGGGTCACTGACCAGAGGGGCCTGGATTATGTGGTTGCCCCAGTCGGAGACCCCTGCGCTGCCCCCACCCCACTGCCAAGCCCCCCAAGCTTGGGCTTCAGCCCCATCCTGGAGCAGCTAGGAGTCCCGAGAAAACGGAGTCGCCCCCACACTGGGCACCAGCCTCCGCGCAGGCACCGGCCTCTGCACTCCCTCCGCTGTCCTCCAGAGCCGGATGCCCTCTCTGTCTCTGTCCCAGAGGGCTCGGCCGTCTTCCTGTCCCTTCCCTGTGCCACACCGTCCCCCTCTCCAGCTCGCCCTTCCCTGCTCCAACTCATTTCTGCCCTTGCCTTGAGTTTCCAAGCTGTTCAGGAAACTTCCCTCTTGTTACCTCGTCATTCCCGTCGGACCACGGACGTCCATCTCCCTCACAGGCACAGAGGACTGGCATCAAGACCAGGCCACATGTGCGTGCGTGTGCGCGCGTGTGCCCACCCATGCGTACACACACCCAACTCCCACCCTCTCCGTGCTGAGTGCCCCCCGCTCCCCGCTGGCAGTCCAAGGTCAGCCCCATAGGAACCAGCTTCCAGTTCTCAGCAGGCTCAGCAGGAGGGAAGCTCCGAGCTGTCCCCTTTGGTGGCTGCGTGAGCCCGAACGTGCTCGCGAGAAGCCAGGTTCTCTAGCAGAGAAGTCGCACAAACGGCCCTACTGATCAGCAGCGCAGCGAGCAATACTATCAGCATCACTCACTGCCCAGCTACTGCAGCTCCTCTAGTTCAGAACCTGAAAGGTGGACGGTGCCGAGTGAGCCCTGACAACACGGGGCTGGCAGTGCTGTGGGGGGCGGCGGGGGGTGGGGAGGGGTAGTGGGGGGGGGTCCGTGGATAACAGCGACCCTGGATCTCACTGCCATTATCTGGAATAGAAGTCATGCAGACACTCACAGCGCTAGCAAAACTGATGGCAAATGTCTGGGTCCCACTGGAAGCACGTGGGCAGAGCTATTCTGAGCGAGGGGAGGAACGTGTAAGGACCCTGGGCCGGGGGTTCCCAGCCCGCGGGCAGTGCTAGAAAGGTAAGCAGGGCTGGTAACCGGAATTCCGTCTACCTGATCAGGCCTCTCAAAAAGGCTTCCCGTGTATAACCTTAACTTTGAGAAAAATGCTGTCTGTCCCTTACACCGAATGAGGAACCCCAGGTTCAGGGAGGTCAACTAACTCGTCCAAGGTCACACAGAAAGTGAGTGGCAGAGTTGGGACCCCGGCTCCAGGCGGCGCCCGGACCCCCCAGCTGTGGCTCCGGGGAGGGGGTCCCCAGAAGAAGGGCCGCTTCCCGGCTCCTCCTGCCCGACCGCGCGCCCCAGACAAGGTCGGAATCTGGACGGGGCGCTGGCACCGGAGCGCGCAGCCAGGAGGCCGTGGGGACCCAGGGGAGGGGGTGGAATGGGGGGCGTTCCCATCAGACTCGGGGGGCGGCGGGGTCCGCGGGCCGGGGGGCGCCGGCGCCCCGGGAGGCAAGGGCGGCGGGGCTGGGGGCGCGGACCCGCCGCCTCCCTCCAGGGTCCGGGCGCCCCGGCGGCGCGCGCGCTCACCTACCGGCAGGCGGCCGAGGGCCGGGGCGAGGCTGCGGCACCGCCAAGTTTGCCGCCTCCTCCGGGCTCTCCTCCGGGCTCTCCTCCGGGTCCACGCTCGGTCCTGCGGCTGCAGCCGACTGCGGCGGGGACTGCGCGGGCGCGAGGAGACGCCGGGCCCGCAGGGCGCTCGGAAGAGGGCGCCGGGCCGGCGGGCGCCGCACAAAACCCCCTTTCTTCCCCCCGCCCCCGTCCCGCCCCTCCCCTCCCCGGGGCCGCCCCCGCCCCCTGGCCGGGGACGCGGGGGGCTCGCGAAGGTCACGCGACCCGCTGCCTCCTCTGCGTCCGTTCCCGGCGGCAGCCGCGAGAGCAAGGACGTGCGAAGTAGGACATGGTTCCGGCCGGAGAGGCCGCGACGCGGCTGCGGAGGGCGGCGGAGGGGCGGGCAGGGGGCGCTCGCGGAGCCGCGGCCGGGATTGCAGCCGGGGGGAGGGCAGTGAGACTCCCCGAGGGACTCCCGTTGGGCAAGGGGCGAGCAGGAGGGACCCAGACTTGGACAGTAAGGGAAGGATGACGGGGGCATAAACGTGGGGGAGGGGGCCCTTCGGGGGAGGCAGGAAGAGGTGCGAACGACCGTGGCCACCTCCCTGTTGGGAGCTCTGGTTGGGTCTGACTGCGGGGCGCTCCCACCCCTGCACAGAGGGCGGCTGACTTTGCAGCACAGCGGCGGAGGTTAGACAGCAGAGGCGCGGGTCAGCCGAGCAAGTCAGGGACTCTCTGGACGTGTGGCGGGGGCAGGGGCACTGCGTGGACACGCAGGTCATGCCAACCAGTGTGCAACACACAGGCGTTGCTGGGAGCCCAGAGGGCTCCCCCGGCCAGGGCTGCGGCTGATGAATGTGCAGCCCGGTGCCAGGGGGTGGGCCTCGAGGGCTGCCCGGCCGTGGGGGCCGCCTCAGAATACCAATGATGCCCCCGCCCCTGCCCCAGGGCCTCCTCTCCCCTCCGCTTTCCCAGGCCCTCTCTGCTCCTCCTCTCTCTTCCCCCTCCCTCCCGGGACTTGAAGCAGAGCCCCGGGGCACAGGCAGTTGCCCGGGTTCCCTTTCCGGGCGACCAGCATGTGGGGGATTTGATCCCCATAATCTCCGGCAGCACCCCCAAAATGTCCGTGAGGTGCCTGTGCTGCAAATCAGCCTCAGGACAGGTGTCTGTCCTTCCATTTAAATGGCACCCACGTCCCTCCCTCCTGTACGGGACTCGGGGCTGCCCTCTGCCGATGCCCCAGCTGCCCCCGTCACCACTGCCTGGACTCTACGCCCAGTGCTGTGGACTTGGTGCCAAAGGGCTTTCTAGAAGCTCACAAGAAACTCCTCCCTGAATCTTTGAGGAGCTAAAGGTAGAATTCTGGCCTCTCCCTGGACACCCATCTAGTGCGGAGACAGGACAGGAAGGCCTGGGGGTGGGGCTGGTACGGCCCTTTAGTAAGGGGGGTGACCCAGGCAGGGACGTGAGCCTGGAGAGGACAGAACAGGTGCCTGACCGAGTCTGGGGAGGGAGAGACCTCCATTTATTCATTTCATTAAATAAACATTAACAGAACGTCCACTATGGACCACGCACTATTTTAGGACCCAGTCCTCTGGAGAAGGGGGACCTGGCCTTGGGGCCAATCCGGGCAGTGCCTGGTAGCCCTGGCCTCCCTTCGCCCCCCTCAGACCTCGCAAGCTCGAGCTGAAGGAGGCCCCGCCTCCCCCAGGGCAGTGTCAGCCCGGGTGGGGGGCATCCAGCCTGTCCCCACAGCGCCCACTCAGCTCCACTTGGGGCTTGAGTCCAGCCAGGCGGAGCCAGGCGACCAAGTGGCTGAAATTCAGTCTCAGGGGCGGCTTGCGTGTAACCACAGCCCTTGCCGCGGGGAAACCTGGCTGTGATGGGGAAAGACGGAGAAAGTGACCTTCCTCGCCACCTCTCCTCATGACTACAAGTGTGGACACACATTTTGGTGTCTCCTGGGGGAGTCCAAGCTTGACGGAGGCCGGCAGCATCTGGGGCTGGACCAGGGCTGGTAGCAGACAGTCTGTTCCAAGAGGCAGGCCCCTGCTGGGAGACCAGACGTGGTGTGGGGACAGGCGGGCGAGGGCCAGGGCTCGGCAGGCGGCGCGCGGAGGTCAGACCCCTGGTTCGCCATATGCAGCGGCCAGGACTCGGGAAGGGCCTCGTTCCTCAAACCGTTTCCCGTTCTCAGTTCTGAACAACAGGGGTGCCTCCTGTCTACGGCACCAGGTAAAGGCCACTGCACTTGGCCCATGAGCGAGCTTGGCAAAATCTAGTTCTTTTCCTTTGCCAGCCACACACACAAGCACACATGCCCCGAAATCTGCACAGGTCTGCTGGCCGGGCGGTGGGCGGGCCACTCCCCTGTGGGTGGGGGGGAGGACTCATTATCTGAGAAAGGAGGAGCCCTTGTCTGAGGATTCCCCAGGGGAGGAAATGAACGCCTCCCACATTTCCGGCTCTGCAGATTCACATGGAAGTCTAGCGCACCTGCTGATCAGGGCCTTGCTTTACTACCTGTACTTGCATCTTGTCCCTGGCCCCGCGACCCCGCCCCTCCCCCATTTCTGTCCCTTTCTGAGAAGAGGCAAGAGCCAAGACCCCCTCAAGGTCTCTGAAAGGGACCTTCAGGGACTGGCTGAGAGCGGGAGGATCAAGGGAAGAGGAGGAATTAGAGCGAGATTTTGGGGAGATCTTCCTGCCCCTGTAACAGAAGGAGAAAGTGTCAGGAAGCCGCTGCACCTTCCGGACAAGGAAACACACCCGGGGGTGAAGCGACCGTCCAGGGTCACACAGCACGTGATTGGCTGACCGTGACTAGATGCCAGTCTCCTGACGGATGCCCAGGCCGGGGTTCTCAACAGGGCTCCAGCTGTCTCTCAGGGGACAGAAATGGTAGAGGCAGAGAGAGAGAGAGAGAGAGAGAGAGAGAGAGAAGGAGGGAGAGTGAGGGCAGCCCAGCTGGCCAGCCTCCCAGCCTCCTGGGCCCTGGGGACTTTTCTAGTCTCTCTGCATGAGAACAATCAGTCTCCGGCCTCTCCCCCTCCCCCGCTCCAGGCCAACACTGAGGCCACGACCCACGTTGAGAAACAGACCCACCAGGTTCCTGCAGCCCCCGTTTGCCCCAGTATTCGCCCCCAGGCTTCCTCAGTGGCCTCCGGGCCACAGTGGCCCCTGCAGTCCCCTGGGCACCTGGCCCCACTTTCCCAGACTCCAAGGTGGGGCCCAGGCTGCTCAGTTCCGCCCCCCCCCCCAGGCCCTGCAAGTCCTAGAGGCACGTGGGCCCTCTCCGTGGGGCCGCGGGGCAGGGGCCCCGCACAGCTGTGCCGGGAGAATGGGGGCTTTGATCGCTCCTGAAAGGGGCCAGGAAGCGCGGGACCCCAGCCCAGGCGGGGAAGGGGCCAGCCGTGTTTCCAGGGTTCCTGCAGCTGAGGGCCAGCGTGGGGGGGGGCGGGGTGCCATGGCAGGCGGGGTGGCGAGGGGGCAGCCGTGGGACCTGCGGGCTGAACGGCATCTTGGGAGAGGCCCTGAGCAGGAGCAGACGGCTCTCCGCCTGGAGGGGCGTAAAGCCTGTGTTCAGAGGGGACCACCAGACTGTTCCCCAAAGAAGAGCGGAAGGGACTGGAGGGCTGGAGCCTGAGACCACCCAGGTCTCCTTCTAGAAAAAGGCTCCTCGCAGCCCCTCTCCCTGAGCCCACCAGCAAGAGCTCGTTCACTTTTCTGTGGTGCTGGGGTAGCACTTGTGTCTGTGGGCCTCAGTTTCTTCACCTGTGAAATGGTAACAGCATCCTGTTTTATGGTTCTGACGTTGGAGCCACATAAACAATTTATACAATTAAAACATAAAACCGGGGTGCCCGAGTGGTGCAGGCGGTTAGGCGTCTGACTCTTGATTCAGGCTGAGGAGGTGGGATCGAGCCCCAAGTCGGGCTCTGTGTTGATAGCACGGCGCCTGCTTGGGATGCTCTCTCCCTCTCTCTCTCTACCTCTCTTTCCCTCTCTCTGTCTCTCAAAATAAATAAACTTTTTTTTAATGTTTTATTTATTTCTAGGAGAGAGAGAGAGAGAGAGAGAGGCAGCATGAGCAGGGGAGGGTCAGAGAGAGAGGGAGTCACAGACTCTGAAACAGGCTCCAGGCTCTGAGCTGGTAGTCAGCACAGAGCCCGACACGGGGCTCGAACTCACGAACCGCGAGATCATGACCTAAGCGAAAGTTGGACGCTTAACCGACTAAGCCACCCAGGCGCCCCTAAATAAACATTAAAAACACGTAAAATTAAATTTGAAATAATTAAATCAATTTTAGATTAAATTTAAGAGAACACAGGGATGCAATCTCTATAAATCTGCAACAAGGCGGGGGCGCCCGGGTGGCTCAGGCGATTAGGCATCTGACTCTTGTCGGACCCGGCTGGTTTGGCTTAGGTTATGATCTCATGGTTCGTGGGACCCAGCCCTGTGCTGACAGCGTGGAGCCTGTTTCGGACTCTCTCTCTCTCCTTCTTTCTGCCCCTCCCCCCCAATAAACTTAAAAAAATGAATAAAACAAAGTGAAACAAGTGTGCATAACCGTAGATGGTATTGGAGGCAAAGCCACGTGGGAGAATTTTCTTTCCAGTGATTATAAAATGCACCATTTTGACCATTCATCCCTCGGAATAAAAAGGACCACGGAGAAATCATAATGCTGGCATTGTTATTTCAAAATGCACTATTTCTTTTAGGAAGGCAAATAAGTAATTATAGGAATGGTGTTCAGACTAAGAGTTTCAGTGTGAGAAGAAGAAAGTCAAGCAAAACTGCTAATGTTTCACGTGAATTGGAAATGACAGCATGAACAGGTCACTCATATACACAACTCCCGGGTCGGCTGAAAAGGCGGAGCGGCAGTGACCACCCGCTGACACTGTGCGCCCCCTGTGACGGGACTGTGGCCTCTAAATGGTACTCCCCGCTAGCAGGAACTCGGCCTCTTGGGGATGGCCCAGTCAGGGGAAGGATAACTTGTCGTACTTAAGAATAAAGGACATTTTGAGACTCAGGTCAGGCTCATGTCAAAGGGACCCAGTAGCCAATTTGTGAAGACTCCTGTTGGCCACGATGAAATGTCAGCATTAAAATGAATA